ACGGTTGACCAAAAATCACAGAATAAATAAATAAATAAATAAATAAATAAATAAATAAATAAATAAATAAAACAGTACAAAAACAATGTGACCCCGCATCGCCTGCAGGGGTCATAATTATCAATGTTTCCACCAACAGAACCCAGTTAATCTCACGGGGTTGAACCATTCACGAGGGAATATCCAAAATGTCTCCAAACAAACAAAAAATGTTCTCAASAGCCTCACACTTCGAAGAAATTTTAAATGCGTGGAAAGATTCGCTTGGCAAATTACCTTTCAAAATAAGAGTCAAAGAATCTTCACGGACGTCTGTAACCCTTRGCAGTTTACTTTTCGTCATTCTAACGTACCAGAGCTGTATATTTTTGGAAACTTGCAGCCAAAATTGGACAAAAATTTCTCAAAGAAATTATTTAATTGTGTTAATCAGTGTGATTTCAAGTGTGTTTTGTCAAAATTTTGGGTCTCCAGCAGTCACAGCTCAGAGAGATACTACCTCATTATTTGTAAAAGCTGAACAATCTTTTCTACATTCAAAAAAACTGAATTATTAACCAAACTGTTTGCAATTCAAACCAATAAACTGCCTCATTTTACCAATGTTTGAGCAAACAAAGCAGATGTARTTTCAAACAATAATGATTTTATTCCAAAATTTTGTATAAATCTATATGCTGATGACACTTTCTTGTTCTGTTTTGGACAGGATGAGCAGCTGCACAGAAACCTTCACGAGGAGATCAACAACTTGGCTCTGAAACTGGAGAAACACGGGAAGACAGACGGCAAAAACCTCTCCAGCAAAAGGAAACACATTAATAAAATGTAAGCTTTGTTCCTTGTTGTAAACTTATTCCAGCCGTGAAAAAGCTTTTCTGCAAAAAGTTGTTTGTTTAGGTGGCTGAAGGTCCAGTCGCAGCTGAAAAACTACCACAGAAACCTTCAGCTGGCTCTCGAGGTGTCGACATTTCACCAGCAGGCTGATAACGCCTTAGAGGCTATAAACAAGATGGTAAACGGATAAAAATTCCTGTTTTATTTTTATTATTTAACGAGATTTACTCGCTTTATCACTGCGTTGATTCTCTCTTCAGAGGAAAAGCATCACATCATCCAGAGAGCTGGACAACTTCGGTGACAGAGACATTCGAGACATTGCCGGTCAAATCATGGTAAGATTGATGTTTTCAGTAAAAAATAGAAACATAAAAAAAAAGCAGCGTTGCTCGCAAAATGGCACTGCAGAGGCCGTCTCTACCTAACCCTGTAGACCTGTTTGTGATAGATGCTGGACGTGAGCGTGTCCCAGCTGCCTCACCTCCATCCTGCTCTGGCTGCCAGCGTCAAACAGAAACAGGCTGAGGCCAAAGTCTGCTGGGCTCGTCTTCAGAGAGAGTTAAGGTAACAAACATATGTTTGTTTTTTTACTGTTATCTTAAAGAGATCCCCGATTAGTTGTAACATTAGACTTTATTT